TGTATTCTATGCGTACGCCGATTTCTTTAAAACTATTAGGTTTAGGTTTATAGTTTACCCAACAAAAATAGACATATTTAGTATAGAATTTTATTTCAATAAAATTTTAAATAAAAATTTCCATGTACAAAAAAAATACACAAAATCTTTCTACAAAGTTATTGACACAAACAACTAATAAATACTTAAAATTATTAAAAATCACTGAAGTCAAAAACTAATTTCTAGATACACAATGTATAACGAATGACGAATGAATATGGACAAATGATCACGAATTTTTAGATAATATAGTGCGATGTCATAAGAATATTAAGTATACATTTCAAATAATACACAAGTGCAAACACATATTATAATTGGTACACGGCATTCAGAATTTATTACATATATAGGTTATAATTGGCACTGGCTCTCTCCTCATTCACCCACATGCGCTCTTGTGAACTATATGTACATATATAACTACAACATAAAAGTTTCTAGTGAGCATTAATAAATTATTACAAAATGTCCGATAATAAAACTTATGGCAACATTGTATATAATACGAGTGCTATATAAAAACGATGTGAAGTCGATGCTCTATATACAACACACTTTCTTACATTTATTTATTCATTCATAACATTCCGCAGATAAAACTAATGGGCCACTCCACTACAAGTGGTCCAAATTATAATTTTTTTCTACCTCGACAATTAAAAAAAAAAATTATTTGCATTTTGAAAGTAATGATAAAGTATAAAACTTCTTAAATTGACCTTTCAAATTTCTTTTTACCCAATGTACTGGGCACACAAATTCCTTTTCATTATTGGACCACTTCAAATGGAATGAACACAATCTAAACCTGTAATTTGACCTAAAATTTAGTGACTGCCCTACAAATGTCATTGTAGGAAATACTGGCTCATTAAGACAGGACAGTAGTTTCTCTTCGTTAAGGTATTTTCAATACAGTCCCACCATTTTCATTTTAACATAAGACTATATCATAAAAAAAAAGAATATTCTGTGGACGCAGAGCAATTTAGTTTCTAGAAGGATTATTTAATACCTGAGAAGGGAGACTAGACAAATTGACTTCATTTTTAAAAAACTACCTACTAACTATACAATGCAATTTAATTAATTTAAAACCATGGTAGAAATAATGATTTTCTTTTTTTGCCATTTTCTTAAGTCCCTCTGGGCCTTTTACGGCCTTTACTGTCCCGATTATCAAGATAGATTAACACCCCTAAAACCCCCCGCAAGTCCCAACTATGTGGACATTACCATTTTGAAATTCTTTAGACTCTGATGAATGATCTCAAAAATTGCAGGTCTAGTGCATTTCCAGAATGATCATTCATCTCGACTAGCAGTTTCTATGGGCGGGTCTTATGGCGAGGATTTGGGGGTTGATCTGTTTGACAGAATATTCTTGTTAATGGGGAAAGTGGATGCAAGAGATTAGAGTAGGACAGCACTAGCCAAAAAGGGCAGTACTAACCGAAATTTTACCTATCAAAATTCTGTATAGCTACTGCTCGTAAAATCCAAAACATTTGATTGAAACGACAATTATCAAAATCCAATAAAAATGATAGTTCAAGAGAGTTTCCTGAAAACAAATCATTTTGTTAAATATTTCTTAGATATTATTACACACTTCTTTTATCTGTTGCACTGTTTCCACATTAATTAGTACGTAAATTAAATACGGCGCCATATATTTGATAATTACGGAAATAAGAGTCTAACTAGTGATTGTTCATATTTTTTGACATAAGATTAAAATTTCGTACATTAAAGGAATAATCTAGAGCGAAATAATAACGTGGAGTTGTATTAAAGTCCTAATTCACTTAGTGCCTTAAATATACAATAAAACTTATGCAACTTTGCAGCACCGCCGACGTTCAAGTACCACATAAACCAAGTTATAAATTTTGTAGGTTAAAGAACATTTTAAATGGCAGTGGGAAAAAGAATAATCCAGGTAGTTAATTTCCATTAAGACCTTTCCAATCGAACATCTCAACATCATCAGTCAATATTAGAAATATTAATAAGTAACAACATTTTACTACTTAACAGCTACATTAAATCGTCAAAGTCTATAATCTCAACAGGAAGATCCCCGGTGCGCAGCTCTGTTTCAGGTGACTTCCCACGCCGATCCGAGGAATCCCATCCGTCCCTGAATCTCAATGGTATAATGAGCTTCCAAAACAACTTGGAAAGATCTTAATGGTGTTTATGTAGTACTTTTCCAGCAAGAGTGCTTTATAAATTCTCTAGATTTATTTAAACAGCAGTATAACTGCCAGAACAGTCTTATTGGACACGCAGAGTGAAGGGCGCGTAAAAGCATTTTTATGATGGAGGAATGTTTTTTTTTCACTTTTTAACATTTTTATTCTTCTTCCTGTTCAGTCTCTTCTCCTGGACCGTACATGTCTGCTAATTTGTCGAATCGAGGTCCCCATGCACCTAGGTAGTCGTACTCTTGAACTTCGTCATCGGTACCTATAAATGAATTGTCTAGTTAGTAAAGTATTAATTTGTTTCTGATTATGTTATCCATTCTCTTTTTATCAAAAAAATAAACAAGTACGATTACTATGTGGCAGATAAGGAAGATAATTTATTTAGACGCCATTGGATATAGAGTCTTCTAATTATAATAAACTAATTATTGTTCTTTGCATTTTATATAATATAGAAATTTGCAGATAATAATTTAATTATTAATGGACAATGTGAAGAAAAAGATAAGAGTAAAAATATATGATCACTGATTAAGAGCGTTATCCATGTACTAAAATTGACTTAAAACTAATTCCAAGTTTCCAGGCTTATTTTTTAATATTTTTTTTTTATGAAATTTAGCATGCATATTTATGGAGTCGTGCACAATGGTGCTACGGAGTCCAAATTAATATCATAATAATTTGCGCAGATATCATGACATGTTATAGTAAAAAATGCTAAATTATGTTATGGAAAAAATCACGCATGTCGGTTGATAAAATTTTTCTTTCTTGTTAGATGACAGTTTTGATTTTATTTAGTTATCACAACATGATAACTCTTATAACTGAGCGACGGTGAAAAAAAAATGCCATACCAGATAAAAAATATGATCTTCATGACCATGAGAATATAATACCCGATTTAAATGATGAGGAGTATCAAAATAAAAAAAAATATTTTTAAAAAAATAACAGAAAACTTATTTGGAAATAGAATTTATTGAAAAATAGACTAGAAGCCAAGGAGAAAATCTTACATGGAAACAAGCTAAAAGTGAACGCATAACTGCTTCTAATTTTAGCAGTATTTGTAAAATGCGGGTAAAAACAAATTGTAAAAAATTTACAAACATTTGCTTTATTCCACGCATACCTGAAATAAACATACAAGATATGGCTTAGAAAAAAACCAATCTAAGTCAATTTTCAGAAAAATTATTATTAATGTCGAAAATTGTGGTTTTGTTTGTCGATCCAGATTTATCTTATTTAGGGACTAGTCCTGATAACCTGGTTCTAATTTGAACTGATTGTATAATTGAAATTAAATGCCCTACTTCTGCTTCAAAGTTAACATCACAAGATGCAATGAGACAAAAAATTATAAGGTATGTAATATTGACGACAATAATAATATACATTTGACACAAAATCACTATTTCTACCAGGACCAGGGCCAGCTTCACATAACAAAAATACAATGTTGTTTTTTCATGGTATGAACCCCTCTGGGTTTTGTAATGGACTAAATTGAACGAAATGATAATTTCTGCAAAGTAAACTCCAGTGTTATTATATGAATTGTGTTCTGCCAAAAATAATCGACCTTCATTTTATAAGAGGGTTAGAAATACGAAACACTCCTTTTTTTATATAGTAATACATTGTGAGCGAGTAAGGTCCTGTTAAAAAAATGTGTTCACTAAATATCCTTTATTTGACGACAATCTCGTACATACCTGCGATTCTCTGCATATAATCATGTTTTTACTTTATCATAAAGAAAATCAAGTTGATAGCTCATTAGTTTTCAATCTACGATGATGTAAATAATATTAATATTTAATAATTGCTTATTTTTTGTGTTTTTTTTTTTGTTGTAAAAAATGTCTGACCTACATACCTTACTGAAAATGTAGTGAGTGGCCGTTTTATATACTACTTATTTATTATCCATAATACCTATAGGGTTTGATTTGGTTCTCCGCCAATTTTTAACTTCTCTAGCAATAAGCGACTTTTGTACTAAATTTTGCTCTACTAAAAACTAAAACGCGCACCCGAACCCAACTTGAATCTCTCTCAGAGAAACATTCCTTCAAACATCGAGCGCGCGTCGTTGCCAAATTGGACTGAAAGGTACTGCGTCGCATAATATTTGACAGATATGAAATCTGAGTTAGGAGCGTACTGGATAACGTTCTTAAATAAAAAGGAAAAAGTTATATAGAAAAATGGATACACATAATGAAATACAAAAAAATTAGAATTTTTTAGTAAAAAAATTGCCGACATACTTTTATTACCTGAGGCCAAAGAACTCAGTGACCCTGCCGTGCTGCCGCCTCCTTCGTAAGCGTAATTCCTGAGGTCATCGAAAGGTGGTGCGTTAGGGTCGCTATCGGCTCTTTTTTTGTGTTCTTCGATGAATACACCTACATTGGGCTCTTGGCCGACACCGACAATGACTAAAAAATAGTTTCGATATAAAGTAATAATTATTTTTGTCGATACGAAGACAGCCAGCCAATGCAGAAACACTACTATACTTACATCCAATCTTTGACGGTCCTAGTTCAGGAATGGGTCCTCCAATCGGAATCTGAAGTGGAGTTATATCGAAAGCTGTCATGTCGTCTTCTCCGCCACCTTCGTCATCATAATTGATTATATTTTCACGGACATCATCGTCAGGACCTGGGTATTTAATGTGAGCCTCTCTACGTCTGTTGTAGACGACGAATACTAACACTAGGACTGAAAAATTTGGTTAAGTTAGATATATGATTTTTTTTTTCAATAAATGGTTTTATCGCTAACGTTTCTAGCAGTAATGGAACATTCAGACTAAATATTCTAAGTATTTGTTGCTTCAATACAGATTGTCGAATGACTTTGAAAATAATTTTGCTGGAGTTGAACTTAAAGAAGATTATACCAAGTGATGAAAGACTATTAGCATATCTACCTTTTTTCTTAAATGGAATTTATCAGGAATAATTTCATAATAAAAAAATCATTTTTACAAAAAATATATTTCAAGATTGCTTTTTGTTGTTTGGATATCAAATTTACATGGTACTAATATAGTATATAATATATTTTTTTAATTTAAATATACATTTTTTTAAATTAAATTTTATTTGTAGATACCTATTATTTATTTTTAAAGTCATGTATACAAACTCGTTATGAAGTTAAATTTCATGTTTTCGGCTTGTGCAATTTAATAAAAATGATGTGATCTAGTCGTGCATGCAATGAACATTTAATTTAAATCCTTAAAAATACGTGTTATTTAAAATTAGGCGATACAAGGTGATTTGTAAGTTGATACTTTTTTCAAGGGTGTTAATTAACAACTACATAAAAGAAACAACTTTTTCAAATAACTTTTTTAAAATAATTCAACAATTATTTTCATACACATGAGTCATTTTTATTTTTAAACAATTCCAAACTAACAGAAATCTATCACGCGATGAACTGACAACAAAATGAGATATCACTGCTTGACATAAAAAATTTAGCAGCCCTCGTATCGCAGAGATTGTTCGACTTTTTAAATTAGCTTATCTGCCTTATTTTTATATTTAAAAAAAAAGTAATTTGAAAATTTGTTTTTTTTAAGTAGTTGTATACACAAAAAAAGTATCAACTTAGAAATCACCTTTAAAGTCAATTTATTTAGAATATACCTTAGACTGCACAACCCCATTATCAATTTAATTTTCATTTTTTCACCAGACTACACACTAAATGGTAAACTGCAAATTCATTACTATTTAAAATACCGGGTGTCATTTAAATTTTTGGACCGGGGTAGTTGGGGGCGACAAATATACTATTAATTTGCCCCCTATTTTCTTAAAGAGATTCCAAAATTTCAAGTCGATATCTTTTAAAACACCAAATATAATTCCATTTAACATTTCGCGCGGTCACTTGGTATACAGCAACATTAAAGGAGGTGTATTAATGATTTTATTATTAAAAAAATTACAAAAAAAGTTGTTCAGAATCGTTGAATTAGACCAAAACCACAATGTTATTAAAAACAAAAATATTAACACTAATAATGCTCTCTGGGGTGGGTTGGCTCGGTGGTTAGAGTCATGTCTCTGAGATCGGAAGGTCTCAGGATCGAATCCCACCGGTGGCAGGAATTTTTATTTAATTAAAAAAAAAATAAATATTAATTCTAATGCATAGGTAGGATTCCCCACTCGACCATTCACTGTTGGGTTCTAATTAACAGTGCTGTTCCTAAAGTGGCGCTGGGAAACAGTAACAAAGCCTACACAGAACACGAGGCTAATGGCCGTAGTAGTCGACGCCGATGACAACAAATTAAAAAAAAATAATGCTCTGTTTTTTCAATGGTCATGTTTTTTTCAATAATCTTTTATTGCATTGAATTGAAATAATAACAACAACAAATTATGGACAATTTATGATAGCATTACTCGAATGTTCTGGACTTTTTAAGAAATATTTTCAATAATTTTGTGTTTGTAGAAATTTTGGATTCGAGCCATTCTGAAATTTTTCCATAATAAATCCTTAATACAGCTTCTTCAATATTGATGTTTATTTGAAATCGCAGTGGGCTAGGCAGTTTATCGTGAATGGAAAGTAACGTGCCCTAAGCACATCCTAATTCAGATAGAACAGACCTTAAAAGTGTAATTTAGTGTGACGGGAAATAATCACAAGAACCAATTTTTTTAAATCGATAATATAAACCAAATATTGGGATGGTGTCGTCTAAAGTGAGACACACTGTATATATGAGTCGAAAATGCCGTGAATAAGACTTAGTGTGAATCGTATTTTTGCAGATTTGAAAAAATATTTAATTTTGGAACATTTAAATATTTAACATACCCTTTAATATCCTATTTTTAATGTTAATTTATTATAATATTAAATTTGTATGTATTTTTAACGTTTTGAATCAGCGGTCGTTAAAAGTATTTCTGTACATTTGAAGAATATGACATTTACTAAATAGTAATTATTAATATGTCATGCCAGTTTAGTATTTAGGCCTAGTAGAATAATACCTATTTTGAAATTTACTCCAAAAATGTGTTGTAATAAATTAATAAATATTAACATAGAATTGTACAACTTAATTTATCTAAATTATGAACATTTTTGCTTATTCTAATAATATACTTAGTATATAATGCTATTTTTTTCTAATTTTGACATATAAAGTGACATATTTTGTAATCGCAGTAAGTGTCAAAACTATCTACTTTATGCAATCAGTTGCATAAAGTAAAACATTATGTATGCAATTGATTGACGAAAAGTTGATTATGTCACCAGTTACGAAATGAAAATAATTAAAAATGTCTTTTTGGTTTTTGAATCTAAAAATCAAAAAATCGAAATGTCAAAAAATATAAAAATCGAAAAATCGAAAAATCGAAAAATCGAAAAATAGAAAATAGAAAAATAGAAAATTTGAAAGAACCAAAATTCGCTCCGCTCGTCCCGCAAATATTTACTCGTTACATAAAATTAGGCATTTCGTAACTGGTTACACAAATAGCTATTAGATAGTATTTACGAGATTACATAGAGAAAAAGTATTTTAAAAATATTTTTTTTTTCGTTAATTATTTTTGATGTTTTATTAATTAATCCAGAATCAAATTCGATATTATCAAAATCAGAATAATGACAGGAATTATATAAATAAATTTTAAAAAAATACGTGTGGCACTCGGGGACTGACGCGGTAAAGCTATTGCATAGCATCTTTTATCAACTTATGCAATTATAATTATTTATTTATTTTATTTATGCAGTATTTTTTTTCTTTGATATTAATTCAAGTTTTTTTTTTAAATTAATTCAAGTTACACTTTTTGAGTGTGGTGACCGATAAGAAAACAATTTTTTTTCTTTTATTGAATAAATGAGAAGTTAATATTGTTTAAAATATTTTTATTATCTTACAATACCTACATGTAGGTGATTCAGGAATTTTTATCATTGAAACTATAGGTTTATGGTAACTGAAATAAGAAACATAAGTTTGAGACTTGATATCCTCTAAATATTTGGAAAATACCGCGTCAATGGTGGTCCCATATTTTGTTGTGGATTCTTGTGGATCATTATAAATTTTCAAATTCAATTTTTCCGAAATTGTGTCTAAAAGAGATAGAATCAGTTATGAGCAGTTAGCAGCTAGTCTACACGCATACGTCTAGTCGCACGCACACAAACACCGTGCCGAAGTCTGCCGAACTGAAACGACGTTAGACGATGCACGGCTTTCAACGCCGCACCGCTGTGCCGGTCGTAGTGGGGGGTTATGTTAGGTTTATTTTCGTTACGGAATTTCTTTTTCGATTTTTCGATTTTTCAATTTTTCAATTTTTCGATTTTTCGATTTTTCGATTTTTCGATTTTTCGATTTTTCGATTTTTTGATTTTTCGATTTTTCGATTTTTCGATTTTTCGATTTTTCGATTTTTCGATTTTTCGATTTTTCGATTTTTCGTTTTTTCGATTTTTCGATTTTTTCGATTTTTCGATTTTTTGATTTTTTGATTTTTTGATTTTTTGATTTTTTGATTTCTTGATTTTTTGATTTTTTGATTTTTTGATTTTTTGATTTTTTGATTTTTTGATTTTTTGATTTTTTGATTTTTTGATTTTTTGATTTTTTGATTTTTTGATTTTTTGATTTTTTGATTTTTTGATTTTTTGATTTTTTGATTTTTTGATTTTTCGATTTTTCGATTTTTCGATTTTTCGGTTTTTCGATTTTTCGATTTTTCGATTTTTCAGTTTTTGATGCAATAGCTTAATAATGAAATAGTTAACACTGATAAAATAAAAATTAGTATTTTATAAATCTTGCAAAAAAAATTAATATCTAATATTTACGCCAGCCGGGAACATTTGTGATACCAATTTATTAGAAGCCAGAGAAATCTCTTCTAGTTTTTGTATTGCATGAACGTTCCAGTCCGCAAACGTATATTTAACTCCGCTTCATACTAATACGAATAGGGTCGGATAAAACCTTCCACGGCTTTCAACGCCGCACCGCTGTGCCGGTCGGAGTGGGGGGTGTTAGGTTTATTTTCATTACGGAATTTCTTAATTCGGTCGCCGCGCTCAAAGCCCGCGGTAAAAGCAATAGCTTAAAAATCTAAATTTCAAACAATTCTTAATAGTCTACTAATTTATTAGACATATTTTTTGATGCGTATTAATTAAAGCATTGTTCATGAAACTTGTTTCAGAGAAAAATATGTCCTATCATTTTTGTTAGAAATATTTGTTTGTCACATCCATATTTCAAGAGTTATTTCATTACAAAGTTCACAATATCTATTCAATTTACAGTTAATTTATTGTAAACTGTTCAAATTCTACGTTAATACCTGTTGCTAAACATAGAGTACAAGATTCTACATAAATCAGTTAGCACTCGGATGGGTAATAATAGACCACTGAACAAAGACGGTTACCAGCTCTTTTACTATTTTGATTGTACCATGGATTATTTTATTCTTTGAATGTTTTTTATTAATACATTTGCTAAGAATTCACCACATTCTTGTCCTTATAAGTTATGAGTATTTTATCACTAATTCTTGAGAGTTAATTCGTTCTTTAATTTGAATATTAATCACAATTTTAAAATGTTCGTAGATATTTCATATATTTTTAGACGTAGTGATTCACTATCGAAAACTAGTTACTACATAGGCACTTTTGATCAG